AAAGAGTGAAGGAAAAAGACCTGGATTACATCATCACCTCCGGGAGGAATACAGGGGAATGAAGAAAGGGTCAGGGAAAAAAGACAAAACTAGCAGGCATATGACAGAGCTGAGACGCCAGCAGGGGATGGGGCAGAAGAGGGGCCAGGAGGGGAGGAGGCGCACCAGAGCCTGGGGTGACAGGTCACAGGGGCGGTGCAGACAGGACATTTGCAAGAATTATACAGAAGGGGAGCAATCCAATATTGCACAAAGATGAACGATTTAATAAAAAAAAAATTAACAGGCAAGAATCCTTTCCTTTAAAAAAAATTCAGGGGCCTCTGGTGGCAGAGGGGTGAAAGTCTCAGCACTATGAAGCTGTTCGCAGTACTGCAGACACGAGTTTGATCCCTGGCCAGGGAGGTGACCCATGGGCAAGTAGACCTCTCCTGTGTCCCCACTGCCCCCCTCAGCAGTGGATTTCAGTAGATCCGCCTGTTGTGCTCCCCACTCTCTCTGTGGAGAATCCTCTCACCCCTCATACCTCTGGCTTGCACCCCAGATCTTGTATGCAGAATTAATCTTCCAACAAAATTCCTTAGTATGTAGAACTGGGGTGTAGACCAGAGGTTAGGGGGTGAGAGGATTCACAAGATACTGAGTGTGGTGACAAACAGGCAGAACCAATGAAATACCTGGCTAATGGGAGCAGCGGGTGACACATGAGAGGCCTGCTGAGGCCATATGTGGGGCGGCTCCCTAGCTTGGGCTGAAACCCTGGCCTGAGCAGGCAATAGCGCTGAGACTTACCCCGAGGCCACCAGGGAGGCCCCGAAAAACTTTCACCATGAAAGGTAGGTAAAGACAGCTGCAGACCTCAACCTATAGCCGATAGCACACAGTTCAACATTTCCTTCTAGAGGAGGACATTTTGGTGGTGAGCAATTCCAGCATCAGGGGGCACCACAGAGACTTAGAGTACTGGACAGAACGTGACGACTAAGAAAACCCAGAGAGATCACTTACCCACGCAACATGCAGTGTGCCATGTAGACAGACAGCTGCTGTGAACAGGCATAGCATCGCCCAGGAACTTAAGAGGATACTAGAAGCAACAGCACAGGAACAGCGACATCATCACTGCATGAACTTGGGAGAACAGAGTGAACCAGGTAACTCCACACAATTAGGATTGAAACTCTATGTCAGTTTTCATTGCTCTCAGCTGCATGGTGTGGTTTGAGCTACTAAGTTTGAAGATTTTTTTAAAAGATTTTTATTTATTCAAGCATACAAGAACCAGGGTACAGGCCAGATGTGTGGGAGGGTGAGAGGGTGCACCAGAGACAGAGCGGGGAACAGAACAGGCAGACTGACCGAAATACACTGCTGAAATACATGCAGCGGGCCAGACAAGAGAGGTCTGCCGCACCATGGGGCTGCTCCTGGCCGGCCAGGGAATCAAACTCCCACCACAAAGGCCACGGACAGCTTCACAGTGCTGCGTTCAATTGCCTGCACTACCAGGGGAGGCCTGCCTGCACACTCTTGACATTCACAGCATTTCCCTCCAGTGTGAAGTTTGTCATGCCTAGTGAGGGCTGACTTCCTGAAAAGTTTCCCCACTCTTCACAATCATAGGGATTTTGTCCAGTGACATCTCTGATGTCCAGTTAGAGCTTGCTTATTGGAAAAAATTTTCCCACACTCTTGACACTCATAAGGCTTCTCCCCACTGTGACTTCTCTGATGTTTACTGAGGGATGATTTCTGGCGGAAAGCCTTCCCACATTCTTGACATTCATAGGATTTCTCTCCAGTGTGAATTCTCTGATGTTTAGTGAGGGATGATTTCCACTGGAAAGTCTTCCTACACTCTTGACATTCATAAGGCTTCTCTCCAGTGTGAATTCTCTGATGCTCACTGAGGTAAAACTTACTGGAAAAAGCTTTCCCACACCCTTTGCATTCATAGGGTTTCTCTCCAGTGTGACTTCTCTGATGGACACTGAGGGATGACTTCCTAGAAAAGCTTTCCCACACTCTTCACAATAATAGGGTTTCTCTCCAGTGTGACTTCGCCGATGGTGACAGAGAGATGATTTCCAGAGGAAAGTCTTCCTACACTCTTGACATTCATAAGACTTCTCTCCAGTGTGACTTCTCTGATGTTGACTGAGGGATGATTTCCATTGGAAAGTCTTACTACACTCTTGACATTCATAAGGCTTCTCTCCACTGTGGATTCTCTGATGCTCAGCATATCTCTTATATCCCAAATTATTCTTTCCTAACTGGGTACTCTCACGAGGATAGGTGTGAAATGTGTTTCTGAGACTGGCCCCACTTTCATAACATTCCTGCTGCTCATGTTCAACATACCTAGGAGAACTCAAATGCACTGGAGTCATCTCTGCAGCTCTCCCCTTTTCATTACAACTGCAGCAAGTCTGTCCTCCTTGGGTTCTGTCTCGGACAATGAAAGGTACCTCATCACGGGTGCCCCTGCACACATTGCATTTACGGACAATCCTTCCAGAAGGGCTCCTCTAGGTGTAAATACTGTTTCTTCACTCATGACTTTTCCTTGTTCAGGAAATTCAAAAGACTGTTGAAAGTTCTGAATCACCTGGTGACTAAGGTGCTCAGGATACTTGATGGGTTCCCTCATTCTACAAAAGACTTCCTCGTTCTCTACAGCATGCCCTTCATGAGGCTCACCAGGGATCATCATGTTCCTATGTATAGTAAAGTTCTCAGGCATCATTGCTGAATTGTTTTCATTTTTGATACTATGGTTCAAACAATGAATTGAGTGCAAATTGCTTTTTTCCATTAAGTCAGTTCTCTCGTTGGATGGTATTTTGCTGCTGGTGGTAAGAACTTGCCACACATGTCTGCCCTGATTTGCAGGGCTGTCCTGAGTCAGGTGATCCACAGTATGGACATCTAAAGTGAGATAAAAATGGCCATGTCTCTAAAAAGTAAGCATTCTGAGTGAATACTACTAAGCGGCATGAAAGTTCCTATATTACAACATAATTTACAGGTATTGATTTTCTGATTCATGCTTTTTGCCCATAGTAAATTATGGGGAGAATAGATTTTTTGGTATTTTTTATTTTAGCATAGGAGATCTGGGGTGTAGGCCAGAGATGCAGGAGTGGGGGTGCTGTAGGGAAGTGTGTTGACCAGAACAGGCGGACTGACTGAAATACACTGTTCAGGGGAGCAGCGGGTGAAACAGGAGAGATTTGCCGCGCCAAAGTCGGTGAACTCCTTCACTGTGGATCAAACTCAGGCCATAACAGTGAGAGCTAAGACACTTAATCCCTAGGCTTCCAGAGAGGCCCCAATTAACAGATTTTTTTTAATGCCAAACCAGGATAACAAAGCAGTAAAACTAATTTCATAATGGTTTTATAAAATCATAAATATTGGTAAATATAGTATTTTAACTAGAGTTGTCGATTTCAACCAGAAGCATTTCACCCAACATAGATCCTACACACTTTCTTTCTTAGACTGAACCTGTGCAGCTCTTGCGGGTACTTTCTGAATAACCAAGCCCTGCAGAGGCCATGGCTTTCGCAAAAACCTGTGGACTGAGAGACTCAGTCATTGCCCAGGCACTTCAAGCAAGAGGCCTGTTGAGACACAAGGACTCTGCTTCTCCATTTCCTTAGTTCTTCTTTCAACCCGCCCGGGCCACGGTCACCTGCAGAGGGTCTCAGAGGCATGCGCTTCCCTCCACGGCAGAGACCAGTCAGTTCATATTTAAATATCATATCACATAAGGCTCAGAATCCTAATACATGCAGCAAACTCCGCCTCATCATTGTGTCCCACGTCCCTGCTAAGCGATAGGAAAAAAGTTCTCCATCCATCCTGTGCTATCAGCATTAAAGTCTTTTCTCACATCCTTCTGAGAGCAACACCCTGGTGTTCAAAACGCACTCCCTGGAAACTGTGTTTCTGCATTGTTCATAGCAGCTCCAGTTTCTATGTCGTGTGTGACTCTCAGCTACATCACACTGTCGTCGATTCCTTTACTTTCCTCCCAACGATTCCCACGAGAAGGTGGAATTGCACAGGTCACACTGCTCCCCAAGGTATGAGCCCCCAACCTGAAACTCTTGGTGCCATGGCTTTAGAAAACACCACCTCAGGTTCCTCCTCCCATGTCACAGAACATCCCTTCCAACGCTGAACAATTCTGGGTTCTCCTTCAGCCTCACATTTACTATGAGGGCGGTCACAAGGCTTGCCCCTGAAACACTACTCATGTTCTAAATAACTCTCCAGTCAACGCCTCTCTATCCCTTTTGAGTTAGTCACCTGCTCAGTGACATCTCCAATAGCAATACATAGCCTCTACCCCAGTCTGCAGAGGGAACTATAGATATGACATGTCAGTGCAACCCATTCACCTCACCTGAGCTCTGAAAGAAAAGAATTAATCTCTATAATGATGCATACGGAGCACACACAAAAACAACATCCTCCACTTTGTTTCACTCATGCTGGTCAAACATCCTCTGTGGCTTTACCTCTCTATTAATAAATGTATTTATTACATATTCTTTCCTCACAGAATGTATAACTTCAGAATGTAAAGATCATTTTTGTGAGTACTGTTGCTCCCCCCTCTCAGAAAATTTACCACTGGTTAAACTTCCCATAAACATACGGAAAGAATAAAAAAATTCCTCAACAGTTACCTAAAGAAAACAGTCTATGAGAATAAACTAAGAGAACAGAGAAATCTGATTACTGCAGAATAATCCCCACAGTATCAGGGACTGCATACTGGTTTAAGAACATAGACAACCATCATTAAAAGAGCAGTATGAAATTCACAAGAGAGTAGTATTTGGGAACTGAATAAAGAATCAGTTTGATATATGCAGACACACTGTCCAAGGTTGGACACTGGAAAAGCACCTCAGTTTGGCCAATATCACTGGCCACACTCCCAGCCTCCTCTCAGCCTCCCGGCCTGGCAAGCACTGACTGACCTGAGAGGTCCTGGTTTGGGGGAACGTCCACAGTCCACGGCTGTAATCCCTGCTCCGACCTAATGCTCTCCTCAGGATCGGTAACACAGTGCCCTGTGATGAGAAACAGTGTTGGTCTTCAATCAAGTTCAACTTCAGTCTTTGAAAACTAACAAAAAACTAACAAATGCAGTGTGAAGAGCTGTGCAAAAGAGTCCAATCTGAATCTTTCCAAACAAAAACCGAAACACCCACAATGTACACTGCCTGCCATGTTCAACCTCACCAACACTCAGTTTCATAAGCAAGTGCACACTTATCGGTGCAGAAGACAGCATTGCACTAGAGTGTTACACTGGAGCTTCCTCACCTAGGGACACTAGGTGATTGCAGGTCTCCAGCATCACATCCCAGTACAGGGTCCTCTGAGCTTCACTCAGGTACCGCCACTCCTGCCATGTGAAGTTCACAGCCACATCTTCAAATGACACCATCGCTTCTGAGGGAACATTTCTCATCTCAGGGCCGGCAGCCTGGGTCAGACAGAGCAAGTGCAAACACATCTTATTTTGTGGGTCTTCGGTCCTATATAGAATTTACAGTTGAAAGAGCCTCGCCTCTACATTCACCCCTTTGGTCCTACAAGTAGAACTATAACTTACCTTATGTATTTGAAGTGTCTAAGATTCTAAGAATAAAAGGATGAATAAAATTGGCTCCTTGAGGAGCTGATAGCCTGGCTGGCATGTGTAACAGACACACACCCGGAATCATGTGCTAAAGGAATTTCATAACAAATGAAAAGCATGTGCAACTTTATGCCAATATTTTACTCCTGTGACCTCAAAGCCTGGTATCTCCAACTCACAGTAAACAAAAACTGAACCCGAAACCAGAATGTTCAAGCAATGAGGTGGGAAAAAGCACAGGTATGAGATGTTCAACTACAAGCAAGTATAAACCAGAGATGCACTATTGGGGGTGGGAGGGATTAGGGTCAAAATAAGGGGGGTGGGATGTATGGGGACTATAACCAAGATGAAAATGCATAACTTGTGCAGAAATAAAAAAAATGATGTAAAATATATATAAAAGAAAATTTTAAGAAAAGATGTTCAGCTGACAGAGTCAGAAGAAGACAGAACAGGTCATCACTTCTCAAATGGAAGGACAAAGGGGAGGAGAACTTGGCAATAACTTGGTGGCTGAGGTACGAGGAATGTTTTCCTAATATGCTGTCCACATGATGGGCTAGTAGACACTGGAATTCACACACAACTGGACATGTGTCTGATAGATCAGGAAGTCTAAGCTGAAAACAGAAATTTGGGAATCAGGGCCTCCCTGGTGGCACAAGAGTTTAAGTCTCAGCACTATGAAGCTATCGGCAGCTGCTGCAGCACGAATTCGATCCCCAACCAGGGAGCTATACACAAGGCGCAGAAGATATCTCCTGTCTCCCCACTGCTCCCCTCAGCAGTGTATTTCAGTCAGTCTGCCTGTTCTGTTCCCTGCTCTGTCTCTGGTGAATCCTCTCACCCCCTGCACCTGTGGCCTACACCCAAGCGTTTATATGCATACATATAATAAATATTAAAGAAAAGAAAGAATTTGGGAATCTCCAGGATATTGTTGATAGTTTTCATCACCGTAGGGGAGAACACAGTGACCAGAACAAAAGGTATCGAAAGAAGAGGAAAAACAACTAGAAGAGACAAATATTTCTTTTGGAGAAAGAAAAAAAATAGATCATAGCAATAAAAGAGTTTTGAAAAATAAGATACACGGTATAAGAAAACAAACATCTTAAGAAATCCGTAAATTCATTCCATCATTTCCTTTCCTGTGAGGGGAGCAGCAGATAAGTCAAGGAGAGGTCTGCTGTTTCATGTGTTCAGCTACCTGGCCAGAGACCAAACGATAGCTTGGAAATCACCAACAAGAAAGGAGAGAGGAATTAAAGCATATAAGAAAAGGTCAAAAAATATACAGTGATGCAGTAGGTTGGAAATGGGGTATAAAATGGCTGAGAATACTGCATCCGCAGTGGCGCAGCGGGTGAGCGCTAGGTCGTGAAGCTGCCCGCAGCCTCTGCAGCGCTGGTTAGATCTCCGGCCACCAGCGAGGTCCCGCATGTTGCGCAGATCTCTCATGCTGCCCACTGCTCCCCTCAGCAGTGTACTTTGTCAGTCTGCTTGTTCTGTTCTCCGCTCTGGTTCTGGTGAATTCTCTTACCCTCCCATACTTCTGACTGCACCCTGTGCTTGAATAAATAATAAATAAATCTTAAAAAAAATAAAAAAATTAGGGCCTCCCCGGTTGCGCAGTGGTTGAGCACTGGGTTGCAAAGCTGCCCACGGGCTCAGAGGCACCAGTTCGATCCCCGGCTGCTCCCCGACCACCAGAGGAGGGTCCCACATGGCGCGCAGACCTCTCCTGCTGCCCGCTGCTCCCCTCAGCAGTGTACTCAGGACCATCTGCCTGCTCTGCTCCCCGCTCTGGCTCTGATGAATTCTCTCACCCTCCCTCACTTCTGATTGTACCCAGTGCATGTATAAACAAATGAAATAAATAAATAAATAAATAAACATGCCTCTATAAAAAAAATAAAAAAAAATGACTGAGAATCGAGGAACCACTCTTTAATAAAGTTAACACCTCCCTTTCAGTAATACTTTGGTGTAAATAAAAGTCCACAATACAATGGCAAATGTGTCTGAATGAATTAAAAATAACACCAATTCAATCTTACCTATATGACACTCAACATAGCCTTCAGCGCACTATGTGGAATGTAAGGATGGAACTAGATTCTATGAAGACTAATCATGAAATTGGAGCTGTGTGGATCACTCTAATGATATTATCTCAGGCTAACGCATCACAGAATGAAAAGAATGACCCCAGAAAATAACAGAAAACTACCTGTTTTGAGAAGTCATTGTAATATTATCTATACACTAAGATGAGGTCCTGAATGTGTGCCACAAAGAAAGACAGAACTCAATGCAGAAGATGAAAACAATAAAATCAAGGAGAGGTTCAAGGCCCAATTGCAATTGGAAGGAAAATAATGTTATAAATTCAGGAATCAGAGTTGACAAACGGGTGAAAAATAATTTGAAAAAAAAAGATGTGGTATATAGACAGGATGAAATACTACTAAGCTATGAAAAGGGATACATCTATCCTGTGCAACAACAACAATGGAATGCTGGGGGTGGATTATGCTCAGTGAAAAGAATCAGAAGGAAGAAGACTTACTGGATGAATTCACTCCTATTTGGAGTTTGGAAAAACAAGGCAAAGAAACTGACAATAGAAACCAAAATAAACTCTAGGGATAGGACTGCAGAATGAGGGTACAAAGAGGGAAGGACAGTGGGTGTGGGTGGGTGCAAAAGTGGCAGGGGACTCAAAGATTTATGGAGAAGCCCACAATGCACTGGTGGTGGGTATGGGGGTGACAGACATCTGAGGATATGATAATCTATTCCCTGAATAACGAAGAGTGAGGTAAACCCATGGTACCTTGATTCCAAAAAACTAAGCAATACTGAGAAAACATTGCAACAAAGCAAACTCCCCAAAACTTGTGATTCAGAAAACAAGACTAAGAGGTAATTTTAAAGCATTAAACAATTACACTAGCAATAAAAGAGATCTCAGTTGAGCAATGTAACTTCACACCTCCAGGAATTAGAAAAAGAACAATTTTAGCTCCATATTGGCAGAAAGGAGGACATTGAAAAAAATAAGAAATACATAAATAGAGCATTATGACCAAGAATCAGTTGCTTCTCTATGAAAGGAAGTCTGGATTTTGAAAGATCAACAAAATGGACAAAACCTAAGTTCAATTCAGTAAGAAGGAAAGACAGAGGACTCAAGTGTCAGAGAGGAGATGCCCCCAGGGAGAGCAAGACTAAGACTTCTCTTCACATCCCAGGGCTCCATTTTTTCGCTCTAACAAGATGACCAGCTTGGGCGTAGACACAGCAAGATCTGTTTATTAGGACAGGTGATATGAGATGGCCTGAAGATTCTCAAATTCCCAATACAGTATTGTGTTCAGTAGAGGGGACAGTATAGAAGGTTCTAGAAAAGGATCACTGCAAATACTTTTTCTGACAGCACCTTTACCAGAAATCATTGAAATTTTCATATCCTAAGAACCATTTCTACACCTCTGAGTCCTAGCATGTGATAGAGAAGCTAGGATTTTGCTTGCAGCCATAACACTTAAGTCACATATTTTCTTGAATGAGCACTCATACAGAGAGCAGGTTGCAGATCATCCTAAGACAGGAGAAATTTAAGCCATGGTGAAACATCATGAGACTTTCCAACAAACCCACACTGTTTTTCTTTAAAATAGGGACTTAAAAGTATCCGACAATCCTGGGCATCCCTGGGGCTCATCCACACGTGGTACAGGAAACACTGAGGGCAGGTGAGGAAATCTATAGGGATATTCTCCTCACCCAAGGACACCACATTTCTGTAGGTTTCTAGAACCACGTCCCTGTACAATTTCCACTGTAGCTGGTCCAGGCCCTCCTGCTCCTTGTGTGAGAATTCGATGGCCACATCTCTGAAGGTCAAGGGTTCCTGAAATCAAATTACACAGTTACTATATGGCCACCAGCAGAACTCTAAATAGGACACAAAGTGAAAAGAGAGTTGTGAGGGGCCCCATGGTGGCACTAGGGGTTCAGTCTCAGCACTATGAAGCTATGAGAACCACTTAAGGACAAGTTTGATTCCTGGCCAGGGAACTGACTCACATGGCGCAGCAGACCTCTCCTGTCTCGTCCACTGCTCCCCTCAGCAGTTTATTTCAGTAGATTTGCCTGTTCTGCTCCCACTCTGTCTCTGGTGAATCCTCTCACCCCCCCCAAACCCTCACCTTTGGCCCATACCTCACCAATTTATGTATAAGTAAATAAAATAAATCTTAAAAAAAATGGGGAGACCTGGTTCTGAGAAAGAAGAATGCCCTTACGCAGTGACATCCATGTTTACACAGCAACAGTCTAATGCACCCACTGAGCCCAGAGGATCACATATGCCCACAAAACCACCATGGACACTATAATTTCAGTGACGTCAAATCTGACCCAGGGCACACACCTGTACAACAAGGAGGCAGGACAATTGGAAAATTCATAGTAGAAACGGAGATGAAAGACTGAAAGGAAATTGTAGGTAATGATCAAATACTAAGCAAAGCGACAACAACAAAAACGATCATTTTTAAAGATTTTTTTATTTATGCATACAACAACTGGGGTACAGGTCAGAGGTATGGGAGGTGAGAGGAGTCACCAGAGAGACAAAGTGTAGCTCAGAACAGGCAGACTGACCAAAGTACACTGCTGAGGGGAGTAGCGGATGAGACACAAGAGGTCTGCTGCGCCATGTGGGCAGCCTCCTGGCCTGCCAGGGATCGAACTTGTGCTGCAGAGGCTGCGGACAACTTCACAGTGCTGTGCTTAGCCTTTGCCCCACCAGGGAGACCCCGTTCCCACAGCTTTCATTAGACTCTTGTATGAACCAGATATAATTCT